TAGAAACTGAGAGGTTTTGTAGTCTGAAGCTTTTTACTGAACAGGATCTTATATTTGGGTGTGAGTGTGATGGGGGTGGGCAGCTATTCGTTTAATCTATAACAACAAAAATCCCAGTGTCCCTTGGAGTGGTCAAAAAGGTAAGACTTACATATGCCCTGAAAATTGGTAAGTGTTTTTAAAATTTAAATTGTGTAGAAAGTTCCAGGGAATGGAGGATGCCGAGTATGCCTTAAGGCAGTGTACATTGAGGACAGAGGCTTTGTCATTGACCAGGTTTGAATTGTGGCTTTGTTATTAGGTGCCATTGAGTTCATTTTGACTCATAGTTAACCCTATATAACAGAGTAGAACTGCTGCATAGGGTTTTTTGTTTTTGAACATTTTACTGTGGTTTAGGTGGCAGTTTACAGAGCAAATTAGTTTCCCATTTCACAGTTTATACACAGCTTGTGTAGTGACATTGGTTGCAATCCCCTCAATGTGTCAGCACTCTCCCCTCTTCCTCCCCGGCTTTCCGTTTCCATTCGCCCAGCTTTCCTGCCCCTTCCTGCCTTCTGAACTTTGCTTTTGGGCAAATGCTGCCTTTTGGTCTCTTACGGTTGATTGTTCTGAGGTGCACCTTCCTCACGGATGTTATTGTTCGCTTTATAGGCCTGTCTGTTGTTTGGCTGAGAGGTGATTTCCGGGAGTGGGTTTAGTTCCAAGTTTGAAGGGTATCTAAGGGCCATAGTCTTGGGGGTTCCACCAGTATCTATCAGACCCATAAATCTGATCTTTGTTATGAATTTGAATTTTGTTGTACATTTTTCTCCCACTCTGTCTAGGACTTTCTGTTTTGATCCCAGTCAGAGCAGTCAGTAGTGGTAGCCAGGCACCGTGTAATTCTTGTGGTCTCAGGCTAGTGGAGGCTGTGGTTCATGTGATCCGTTAGTCTTTTGGACTAATTGTTGCCTTCAGTCTTTGGTTTTCTTCATTCTTCTTTGGTCTGGACAGGAAGCGGCCAGTAGTTCTGTCTTAGATGGCCGCTTGCAAGCTTTTAAGACCTCAGGTGCTACTCATCAAGGTAGGATGTAGAATATTGTCCTTATGGACTGTTTTATGCCAGTTGACCTAGATGTTTCCTGAGACTGTGGTCCTAACCCTCAAGTCCAGTGCTTTAGTTCCCCGAGGTGTTTGATTGTGACTAAGAAGTTTCCATGACTGTGCCTCCTGTGTGCTCTATTATATACGTGGATATATTTGCAGTATATAAAAATATGTATGTAGAAATGTCCACTGCCAAACCTATATATGCTCATGGGTGTACAAACCTATATATGCTTGTGGGTGTACTCCCATGCACCATCGCACATCTGTTCAGCTTACATATCTGCCTATGTATCTTCTTGTAAATTATTGTCTGTTATTACTTTTGTTGCAGGATTGTATATATAAAAGTGTTTATTGTTGTTGCCTATTACTCTTGGGTATCTCTCAGTGTCTTCCTTTGCCTTGTTCATGGTGCACTAACTTACCCCATATTGTGTATTGTCTTTCCCTTCACCAACATTAATACATGTCTACTATCTAGTTAGTGATTTTCCCTCCCTCACCCTCCCATCCCTGGTAACCATCAAAGAATGTTTCTTTCTGTGTCTAAACCTTTTCTTGATTTTTTTATAATAGTGGTCTCATGCAATATTTGTCCTTTTGTGATTGACTTATTTCACTCAGCACAATGTCCTCCAGGTTCATCCATGTTGTGAGATGTTTCGTGGATTCATCGTTATTCTTTAACATTGCATAGTATTCTGTTGTGTCTATGTACTACAGTTTGTTTATCCATTCATCCACCCATGGGCACTTAGGTTGTTTCCATATTTTTTCTATTGTGAATAATGTTGGAATGAACATGGGTGTACATATGTCTATTCATGTCACGACCCTTATTTCTCTAGGATGTATACCCGTAAGGTTTTTTTGGCTATAATCTTTATGGGAGCAGATTGCCAGGTCTTTCTCTCGTGGAGCCACTGGGTGGGTTTTAACTGCCAACCTTTCAGTTAGCAGCTGAGTGCTTAATCATTTCGCTACCTGATGTATTGCCATCGAGTCGGTTCCAACTCATAATGACTCTATAGGACCGAGCAGAACTGCCCTGTAGGGTTTTATAGAAAAGCTATAAATCTGGCTATTTTCACATTGGTATTTTAAAAATCACTAGTAGAACTGTAATCTGTACAGAAGCAGACTACCATGTCTTTCTCCCACAGAGCGGTTGATGGGTTCAAACCACCATCCTTTCGGTTAGCAGTGCTTAACCACTGTACCATCAGGGCTCCTATCATGCCGCCAGGACTCCTAAAGGTACTGCAGTTTCCACCAAGACTTGACCTCGAATTACTGGATTCAGAGTCCAGAGTGCTAACCATTGTACCATGGAACTCCATTGTCTAACTACTTGGCCTCACACAAAGCCTCACTTTTCTAACTGTGTCACCATAGTATCTACATGCTGAGGCTGTTACTAATAAATGAGAGGGCTTGTATGTAAGGAGCCTTGCCCAGCGCCTCCTGCCTGAGCAGGCTGGCTTCTCCCTGTGTCTTCATGCTCTGTTTCAGGCAGGAGACGCTCAGACCAAGGCTGCTGAACCTTTGTACAACATTTGGCATCAAGGCCTGAGCAAAGCTGCTTTTTGAAAAGATACTTTTGATGATGCTCTACGAGTAAAGTTTTGGAAGCAAAGAAGGACTTATTACTCTTTTTAATAGTGGGATGCTCCTAGTTTGCCAAAATAGGTGTGAAAGTAATGAACGTTGAATAGAAAAAAATGACAGTTCTACTAGTGATTTTTAAAATACCAGTGTGAAAATAGCCAGATTTATAGCTTTTCTATAAAACTGGCTAAGGATTACCTGCAGAGTTAAAGCTGAGAACAAAATGCTTGTATATGTATATATATATATATGTATATATATATATATTTTTTTTTACTTTTTAAATGTTTTCAGTTGCTTTGGAGTCAACTCTGACTCATGGTGACCCCATGTGTGTCAGAGTAGAACTGTGCTCCACAGGGTTTTCCATGGCTGATTTTTTTGGAAGTAGATCACCAGGCCTTTCTTTCTTCTGAGGCACCTTTGGGTGGGCCGGAACGTCCAGCTTTTCAGTTAGCAGCTGAGCATGTTAACTGTTCGTACCACCCAGGGACTCCATTTAAATGTTACTTGCCACCATTCTTTACTGATACATGTGGAAGTAGATACTGGGGTGTGTGTGTGTGTGTGTGTTTGTGCGTGTGTGCATGCGTGTGCATGCGTGCGCGTGTGTGCGCACTTCTCTCCTCCCTCGCCTTCCCACTGTGACTTCTTTTTCATAAACACTTGGCCAAGAGAAAGTAAAACTAGATAGCTGAGACTTCCCTGTAAGTTATATTTTATTTGAAACATGTTGGCATTAAATTCATAGTTATTTATCAGCAGGAATTTGATTTTTTTAAAAATATATTTGAATAGAGATCAAAGTTTATTAGTGGTTACCATGGGTGGGCAGGAGGGAGGTAGGAAGAAAGACACAGCACTTTAGGGACACTGAGGTTTTGTTAAGGGTGATGGAAAAATTGAGGACCGGTTAATGGTGATGGCTGAACAACATGATGAATATATTTAATGTCACTGAACTGTACATGTGAAGATTGTTGAAATGGCAGCTGTTTTGTTATCTAAATATCTACCACTATTAAAAAATGGTTAAAAATATATTTGAAAGAATTATTTTTGTTTATTATTGCTTAAACTATGAAAACTCTTTATTATTTAGTTTCCTAAAACTGGAAGAAGAAATACAGAACTTGTGCATTTCAAAATTCAGTTGCAAGTAAACAGGTTTTAAGCCTGTATATATACTGTTCACTTAGATTTACATTTTCTGATGTAAAACCAGCTTTGTTTAGTACTCATGATCCTGGCTTTTATTTTGGAAGATGGGAGAATAGAGGATTAAGGCAGATTAGAGTGTTGGGATAATGTTTGACTCCTTGTGTTCTGTACGCTCACAAATAAAATTCCTTCCAAATCTGAATGTCACTATGGTGATATTAGCAAAAGTTTGATTTTGTGGTCAGTATAGAGCCTAGCACAGTGCCTTTTGGGTAATAGATGGATCTGTTATTTTCTGAATCAATACATTGTGCCAGTATTGACATAACGTGGATATGTAAGGGTTTCTGGTGATGCAGAATTGCGTCTGCCTGTCACAATTTGACCCAGATAATTGGTGTCTGGGGAAAACATCTGTCTCTTTCACCATGCTCCAAATAGACACGATTACACCCGAGAGACTGTAGAATCTGCTGAAAGGAGCACCGTTCTGGGGTTTAATTAAAAATAAAAGCAACATTATTTTAGCTACCATTTATTGAATCAGTCTTGTGTCCCAGGCACCATGCAAGGTGCATTATTACATTATCCCTAATGCATTTAAATGGAAGTTATTTCTGGAGTATTGCCACTTGCAGTGTGGGTGGGTGATCTTAAGTAGAGCACTTGGATTCTCTGGACTGAGATGCCTACCACTTTAAAACAGGGATGGTCTTCCCCTCATGTTTGAAAGAAGAGCTCTAAGCTCTGCAAGATTAAAGGTGTTGTTTGTATGGTAACCATACATTATTAACATTCTAAAGTCTAGAAGCACAGATTCGGCTTCTATTTTGGTCCCAGGAGTGGTTGTCTTTTAATGGCAGTGTGTTCTTTTCATATATCAAATGCACAAAGCAATTGAGGATACCTTGTAGTCATGACATACTACTCGTTTTATTTTAATGCTGAAATTTGAGAGATTGAGAATATGTTTGTTTTTGATGGGGGTGGTGGGGGCGTGGTAGATATTTTTTCGCCTGGGAAATGACGTACAAGGTTTTATTAAGAGTTGCTACTTGTTGGGTGTGTGTATGGGGGAGCAGGAGTAGGAAGAATCTTAGGAATTTTTCCTTATATGTTTTTCTTCTGTTGATTTCTAGTCTTTATAACCTGGCTTCACTGGAACTGAGAGAGAATCTTCTTACATATCTTCCTGAGTGAGTCTTTGGGGAAAATAAGAGGGGATTTCGTCTTGAGTGAATTTCTTCAAGCATTTAAAAAAAAAAGGTCTAGCGTTCTGTCATAAAAAGATTCTGTGTTATTTGGAAAGTTTGGAAGATGTAAATCTTCCCATAGTAGTCCTTTCTATACAATAGTTTACTTCCATAAAATTCAAAAGAACCTTATTTTTGAAAACTAAGTGAGGAATACCATATATTTCTACATTTCTAAATTCTCTCTAAGTATACTGCTTGATTGACCTCCCCATTTTCTTTCCTTTTTTAAATAGCTCTCTTACCCAGCTACGGAGACTAGAAGAACTTGATTTAGGAAACAATGAAATATATAATTTGGTAAGTCTGTATAGAAGGGTGATTTGAATTTAACTTGTCCTTAACTATGATCACAAAACATTTTAGGGAGGTCTATGGGGATGCTTATAAACCAGTATGTCCACAGGTATGATTTGGAAATGTTAAAGAATGTGCTGCATTTCACACAGGCTAAGAATTGTGATTTGGGGTAGAGGGCATTGTTGATCAGGACTAGGGGTGGCAGGTGTAGGTAGAAACAAGAACTGGCATTCTTGGGGAAAGTAGGAGATAGTTTGCAGAAGGGAAGTTTGATATTGGAGAAGGACCAACAACCTTCTGCTACAGTATCCAATTATTAACTGGTGAATTAGGATTCTGTCTTTCTTAATGGAAGACTGAAAATTAGATCTTTGTTACCCTAACGTTATTTTTACTGTTTTAGCCAGAATCAATTGGAGCTCTTGTACATCTAAAGGATCTCTGGTTGGATGGAAATCAACTGTCAGAATTACCTCAGGTAAATGGTAATTTCATGTCTTTCCCAAAACATAAAACAGCAACAACAATAAACCTCATGTATTCCTTGCTGCTACATGAGTTTAATAGAACTGATCTTGAAAACCAAAAACGTTAATTGAGAAAACACAATTGGAAAAATATGTTAAGCATTCATCTTTCTACATTGCCATAGAAAAATCGAAAACTTAAGCCCGCCATTCCTAAGACAGCAAGTATATCCTTTGATTTGTGAAGTCTGTATTTTGCCACCCATATAGCTTACCTCAAGCCCAGCAGACGTATAAAGTACCAGGATCCAGTATTCTGACAGTATACATTTCTGTCACCCTTTGTGATGTGCCAGGTGCTTTGGGATAATTTTAGCTACATTTTGCCCTATAAAAGTTAATGTGAGAACAATGTTAAAAGCTTTTCTTTTATTTATTTATTTTTCAAATACCACTTTATGGTTTAGCTGGCATGTCATAGTGTTCGGGTTTTTCCTCCTGTCACCGAGTGTGGGAACAGTGTTCCAAATGGAGTCTTGTACAGATGAGTGCACAGTCACGTTGTGGAATCCTGGTAAACGAGGCCGCTTTCTTTCTGGTAACCAGGGAGAGAAATCCTAAAAACAAAACAGAATCCCAAAATGAACATTTCTGTATTCCATGGTCCCCTGTTATTTTGTTTTACTCTAACTTTTACTGAATTTTATTCTTTGGTATATCTTACAGCCAGTCTTTAAAGTCAGCATACATTTCATGCTGTAGGTATTTATATTTTAAAGTGACTAAGATGCTGTCTCCGCCCACTGTGTGAACCAGCCATGATGGGCCTGTGCACTGTAGGTGGGGAATGCCATATCAACGCAGGGAAGTGTAACATTAGAAGAAAGTACTTCAGTAGAATTTTAATTATAGTTATAGCACTGAGGTTACTATGAAATTATTAGTACTACCAGAACTAAGGAACTAATCTGAGTCTATTTCTGAGGTTATAGCTGCACTTAAGAAGTCCCTAGGTAGCACAAATGGTTATGTGCTTGACTACTAACCAAAAGGTTGGAGGTTTAAATCCACCCAGAGTCACATTGGAATAAAGGCCTGATGATCTGCTTCCAAAAGGCACAGTGCTGAAGACCCTATGGAGCAGTTCTACTCTGACACACATGGGGTTGCCATGAGTCAGAATCGACTCGATGGCAACTAGTTTGGTTTTTTTGGTTTTGACTGCACTTGGGAAAAGGAGATCAGCAAGGGCTGTGGGTGTGGGTTTGATGAATACTTAGATTTCTGTAAGTAAATGTATGGGAAATCCTGATGGAGAGAATCCTAGTTACTTTAGAGGTCAAACACGAGGATAAAAAATACCGTGAAGCTCTCAGGAGAGTAGTAAAACCCCAGCTTTGGGACATGAAGGAGGGAGAGGATATGTATCTACAGATGGTGGGCAAATGACTATGTGCAGAATGCCACATCCTAAAACACAGACAGTAAAGCTCCAAGGATCATGTTATAAATGGTTATTTAAAAATCTCATTTACCTGAAAGGGGTCTCCCTGTAGTATAAACTTATATTAAAGTAGGACTAAACAAACCAGAAACTCTAAAGTGATCAGAATAATTTCCCTGTCCTCCAATTGGTGTGATAGGTAAAGACACTGTTAGAGTGAATTAATGAAAAGTAGAACAACTTCATGGGTCAGTCCTGAAATGTAATCTGGTTTCCTATAGACAGGACATACCAGGCTGAGATCATAGAGTAAATATTAGGTAGGAGATAGGCTGGAAAGAATAGGTCAGACCAAATTATGTTGTTACTGTAAGGTGCCGTTGAGTCGGTTCCGACTCATAGCAACCCTGTGTACAACAGAATGAAACACTGCCCGATTCTGCACCATCCTAACAGTCATCATTATACTTGAGCCCATTGTTGCAGCCACTATGATAGTCCATCTTGTTGTGGGTCTTCCTCTTTTACGCTGACCCTCTACCAAGAATGCTGTCTTTCTCCAGGGACTGGATCCCTCCTTATAACATGTCCAAAGTATGTGAGATGAAGTCTCGCCATCCTCCCTTCTAAGAAGCATTCTGGCTGTACTTCTTGCAAGACAGATTTGTTCATTCTTCTGGCAGTCTGTGGTATATTCAGTAATCTTTGCCAATACCATAATTAAAAGGCATCAATTCCTTTTCAGTCTTCCTTATTCATTGTCCACCTTTCACATGCATATAACATGATTGAAAATACCATGGCTTAGGTCAGGTGCACCTTAGTCCTCAAAGTAACATCTTTGCGTTTTAACACTTTAAAGAGATCTTTTGCAGTAGATTTGCCCAGTGCAATAGGTCATTTGATTTCTTGACTGCTGCTTCCATGGGTGTTGATTTGGATCCAAGTAAAATAAAATCCTTGATAACTTCAAATTATGGAAAACCTTAAGTATAATTCGAGGAATTTGTAATCATGTAGATGTCAGGGAGTCCCAGATGTGTTTTGAGTAGAGAAATGGTATGATTATACGTGTCTTTAGAGGGACATTAGGAAGTACAGTTTTTACAGTAGACTTGAGGAGAGAGGGTCAAGACCCAGAGTCCAAGAGGCTGAGCTAACTAACAGTCCTGATAAGAGGATAATGAGAGTAGGAATTTAAATAGGGCAATGGGAATGGAAGGGTGGGGGCAAATACAAGAGATATCTGTAAAAAATATGCATTTTGTGATTGGAAGGTAAGATAACTCTTGAATGTTAAACTCACTGAGGTATTTTCCCTAGCTTGGATAGACTGTTTTCTTAATAAGCAGCATGTTTGTCTTTTCTGTTGATATTAAAGATATCGATGGGTATCTGTATGCGCAAGTTTTGCCAAGGAACAATTGCATTGATGTTTGTGGTAACAAATACTAGCTTGTCACAAGAGAAATATAAAGTAAGTGGTGGTTTCTTACCAGAGAAAATCCCAGGCTGCTTACTAGTGATTGATTCCAAACTTGGAGAACTGGATTCTAGCCTCCTTTTTCCCTAATTGTGTGATCTTGAAGTCATTTGTTCTCACTTGGCACCAGACTCCTTGTCTATCATATGAAAATGATTCCTTGCCTCCCTGAAGGTGGAGGGCTTGGCATCCCACCCAGCTCCGTGTCTGTGATTCATGCAGCTTCCCAGTTCCATTGGAACGGGGTCTGTGAATTTACACCAGCTTTCACGTTTAGATATGCACTGAAGAATACATTCTTGGGACTACTTTGGGATTTGGTTGTAAAAAATCCCTGTAACAAACTCCTCTGTACTATGCCGGGTTGAAACACGAGTCTCCTTTTCTATACCATTGATGTAGGAAATAGGAAATCTGAAGAACCTACTGTGCTTGGATGTCTCAGAAAACAGGTTGGAAAGACTTCCTGAAGAAATCAGTGGCCTGACTTCATTAACAGATTTAGTCATTTCCCAGAACTTGTTAGAAACAATTCCTGATGGCATCGGTAAGTATTGAAAATAAGTAACTCCTTAAAGACACTGGTAGCTGTCTTGAGCATCTAGAGCACACTCTGATCCTTTCATCACCACCCCCAGGTGCTGGGGAGGTCACTCCTTAAAGTCGTCTTGTTGTTTGTTTGCTTTTAAAGAAGGAAAGCAAAGAATAATAAAATTTAAGTTTCTCTGAATGCAGGTTTTCCTGTTGTCCTGGTTAGGTAGCAGTTACAAGAATTATTAAGTGTTGACTCATATCGCCTTCATCCGTATCTTGTCTCAATGATTTCAGCAGAGGTTAAGCCCAAATAATAGAATGTGTTTAAAGCATATGAGCAATCACTAAGAAGTTTCTCATTCACTATCCTAAGTAGTTTATGAGAAAAAAACTTTGACTTATTGCATGACCTAACGAAGGGGCAGAAACCCTGGTGGTGCAGTGGTTAAGAGCTACGGCTGCTAACCAAAAAGTCGGCAGTTTGAATCCACGAGGCACTCCTTGGAAACCCTATGGGGCAGTTCTACTCTGTCCTGTAGGGTCGCTATGAGTCGGAATTGACTTGATGGCAACGAGTTTGGGTTTTTTTTGGTAAGGATGGGGCTGTTAAAGGAAACGTGTTGTGCTTGAATTGAGCCTTTTCCAGTACAATGAGGACAGCCCTTTACTTTATGCTATTTCCTTTAAAAATATCAGTCCAGATCATTTCCTTTACCATAAAGGAACTCAGTCCAGTATGAGAAAATAAACAAAAGAGGGATAAACAGACATGGACTGGAAGTTTCACCTTAGCAAACCACTTGGAAATTGTAAGAAACTATCTTTAACCCTATAGTTGTTATAAGATTGCTGTCTTTGACATTCATTTATCTTTTATTCAAAACATTAGAGGAAGTGTTTAAAAGATTTTCAGTAGCTGGAAAAGCTGTATGACAGAGGACCACTTCTTTTCTAGTATCTCGTTGAGATAAAAGTGATAACTGATAATAGCAACTCAGTGGGAATATAGACATTGTGTTTTTGTTAAGACCAGTTGCAAAATTGATGGGGACTTTGACTCTGTGTAGAAATGTTCAGTGAGAATCAAAGGTGGCATCTGAAAGCAGATATAGGAACTGGGGATATTTTGCTTGGACTAGGAAGAGGTAGGAGTTATGAGATGGTTGACTTTGAAGCACTTGAAGGGCAGTGGTTAAGCGCTCGACTGCTAACCAAATGATCAGCAGTTCAAATCCACCAGCCGCTCCATGGGAGAAAGATGTGGCAATCTGCTTCAGCAAAGATTTACAGCCTTGGAAATGCTACGGTCTAGTTCTACTCTATCTTGTAGGGTTGCTATGGGTCAGAATCAAGTTGACGGCACACAGCAACAACAGCAACGTAGTACAAATTGGTCCCTGGGTAGTACAAACAGTTTGCACTAAACTAACCTAAAGCTTGATGGTTGAAACCCATCCAACAACTCTGCAGAATAGAGACCTGGCAATTTGCCCCCATAAAGATTACGGCCAGAATACCCTATGGAGCAGTTCTACTCTGTAATACATGGGGTCACCATGAGTTGGAATCTACTCAAAGGCAACAGGTTTGGTGGTTTGGTATAATACAAATTGGTGGAAAAAAAGAAAGGATTGTGAATTTCAATTTAAGAAAGAACTTAAAAAACAAACAAAAAAAAACTTGTTACAAATTAGATTCAGCTGCTTAGTGAAGACAGACGTACCTGTAGGTACAAGTATTCAAGGAAAGGCTGGAAGACTTCTTGCCAGTGATAGGAAGACCCATCCTCTTTTGAGGTGAGATGTTTCAACTCTGAGTGCTAATGTGTCTCCTGAGAGTGAGGGCAAGTGAAAACCCTTGGGGACAGGTTATTGGTTATGCTAAATAGAATTTAAGTAACGTTTATTTCTTCTACCTCGCCCTGCGGCTGCACAGCAGGCAAGATAATTCTTTCAGCGGAACATGTCCGTTTCTCCAGCTTTATGTCCCTGTTCAGTTAGAGACTGTTTTCTGACTTTATTGGAGAAAGCATCCTCATACCAGCAGCTGCTCTCAGGGGATAATGAAAGACACCTGCTCTCTGTAAGTTAGTCCTCTGGCTTCAAGTTGAAAGAATCGACTGAGGGATTTAGGATTCCCTTCACTCAGTGGGAACTCTGAGAAATCTTCAGTAAAGCTCGTCCTTCATCTCCACAGCCTGTGGACATCACCAGCAACTCGAGTATTCCTGCCCTGCATGAAATAGATCCAGCCCTTAATGCAGCTTTTCAAAGTTTACCGCCCTATTCTGCATATATAGAAGTATTTCATTATAGGGATTTTCTCTGAGTCATTTTTATTCACAGGTGTTATATGAAACAACAGTTTATTGTTTTTAGTAAGGATGATTCTTGGAGTAAGCTGTAAGTCTCTCTTCTATCTTAAACATACGTGAAGTCTCTCCTGGTCTTCCTTAAAGATTGAGCAAGAGCCAGCTGTTTGTTTTTCTTTTCTGGCTTTGCTATTATGATATTTTTAGGTAATGCTTTTTAAAATGATTTGCTACTAGTTGCTGACTGTTTTTGATGTTCTGAACAAATTATCTTGACTCTCAACTTTTAGTCATCTAAATGAGCATGATAATAGTTTCATAACTTAAAAAGCTGACTGAGGAAAAAATAACTGTAAAACCAAACAAAGCAAAAGAACAGCAGATATGAAGTACCAAGCAAAGATTAGGGGAAGATTGTGGCTAATGAGTTTAAATAACACTTTTACAGGAAAACTAAAGAAACTGTCAATTCTGAAGGTGGATCAGAACAGACTCACACAGTTGCCTGAAGCGATTGGGGATTGTGAAAGCCTCACAGAGTTGGTTCTGACAGAAAATCAGCTCCTGGTGAGTGTGGTTTACACATGCAAATGAACATTTATACTGTGGATTCTAAACAGTAAAGAGCTTATTAGTAATTTGGGTGAACTAAATGGAATTCTCTTATGCTAAAAGCAAGTGCATGATGATCATTGTTTAACCTGCTTAAGAGAAGAAAGTAGTTTTGAGGATCCATTGTCAGAGAGCATGTGCCCCAGTTGTGGTGCCTATGATGTGGAGCCTGAAGTGACACACTGAAGAAGTCCCCCAGTGAGATGTAGACACAATGTTGGTGCATGTGCTGATGCTCCGCCTTGGTGTCCAGGGACCACCAAAGGAGATGTGTTCTGGGATTCCTCTTGCCTCTCCCTAGGTTCTTTGAGCAAATAGGAAGATCAGGAGAGAAGGAGAAGAAATGGTGGCTTTCCAGGGAAAGGCTTGGTGGGATTAGGGCTGAGGGGAGCCAGAAAATGATATCTGATGGGCTTTGCTTGAGGTAGCTTCTTACTCTGTTGTAGAATTTGGGAGGCAGAGGTGGGCTGCATGCCTCCCACACGTGGACCAGGCTTCCCACCCTGCAAGGGCAAAGGCAGACATGGTACATTCACCACCCGCCAAGGGTAGATTAGCTGGGTGGCAGCAAATCTCATTTGTCGTTTCCCTTTCTGCTGCTTCATCTTCTTTCCTCAGTTCTTCATTTATTGATCATCATCTCTTTCTTCTCTGTTATCTTGTGTCTGCTGTTTCTTCACTTTACTCTCCCACCTTTCTCTTCTCTTTTCTCCATCTTCATTTTGTCATCTTATATATTTCCCTGCCTTCTTCTTTTTCCTCTTTCTTCCCTTTTATGCTTTCTTTAAAAAAGGGGATAAGTAGTCCTCTTTAGGTGAAAAGAGTAAAAAAAAAAAAAAAGAAAAAAAGAAAAAGGCAGCAAGAGATGATCAAGGACACAGAGGTGGTGGGGAGCCCAGCAACATCTCTCCTCTTGCTCAGGTAGCCATCCTCTGGCAGGTGTGGTAGGAGTTACTCTATCTTTCTGTCCTAGTAATCATTAAAAAAAAGAAAAAAAAAGAAAAATTCACTCCTGAATTCCATTAGAATGTTGAAGAGTCCCACCTGGGGCCAGCCTGTTCTCCAAGGGCTCTGTCTTCCCCTTGCCAGCCCTTCTCACCTTTCTCCCATCCCTGCACAGCCTTCTCTCTTCCCCTGGCCTCCTGACACCCCTGTTCGGGTCTTTGATTCCCTGCCCAGCACTCTGGCTTCCACAGTCATTATAAGCCACGGTGCCAGTGTGGTTCTTGAAGGTGCAGGCAGGAAAGGGATGAATCTTGAGGGTACAGAGCCTCACTCAAGTTGAAGAGCATCCATCCATTTACTCTTTAGTAGGTATGTCTCTATTCCCATGTCTGGCCCTTTGACTTCATTTCATTGAAACATACTATAGTTTCAACAAAAATTCAAAACATTTAATTCTCCATCCCCCAAGTGAGCTTTACAAATGTCTGATTTCATTTCAGGAAGAACTTGCTTTTCTTGCTGGATCAGATTGCATTCTTTAAGTCTGTGAAAAGATCTGTTTTAAAAACTATGAGCCATGTTAAAAATATGCTTAGATTAATAATAAAAATGTTATTTTAACAGACCTTACCTAAGACCATTGGAAAACTTAAGAAGTTGAGCAACTTGAATGCGGACAGAAATAAATTAGTGTCTTTACCAAAAGAGGTATGTGCTTTTAAAGAAATCCTAATGATATTGACACAAGGAGGGATAAAAAAAAGTGTCCAGTATTTCAAAAGACTTATGTGTGCTTTTTAAAGATGTGAGCTCTCATCTGAGTATAAAGCTGATTTGAGGGATTATATCAAAGAATGATCATCAGTAACATTAAAGAGAGTAGTAGATGGGTCCTGATGACTCCGAGCAGTGTTGGGAAAGGCCGATTAGTAAGATTTTTAAATGGGAGGAAGAGAGAGATCAACGATTTGGGTTTGATATACAAAGAATGGTGGCACTGTTGACAGCAATGCATAACTTGGGAGTTTGGCAGAGGAAGTGGATGACTTTGGCTTTGATTGTTGAGTTTAATGTGAAATTAAATTCTGTCCAAAAAAAACCCCATTGCTGTTGAGTCGATTCTGACTCATGGTGGTGACCCCATGTGTTTCAAAGAGAACTATTCCATAGGGTTTTCAATGGCTGTGATTTTATAGAACTAAATCCCCTTTATTCCACGGCACCGCTGAGTGGATTCGAAATGCCAATCTTTCAGTTAGTGGTCGACCACAAATGGTTTGTGCCACCCAGGAACCTCCTGTCCCTTAGGCCTTTAGAATTATAAAAGTGATCTCGAAGCAGCCTTATTGCTAGGCAGAGATTTACACTGGGAAGCATTCATGTCTGGGGTGAGAGTGAAAGAACTCTTCACAAAAGCATGCATACATGCACCCAGAGGAAGGTGAGTGAGAGGCTAAAGCCAGGGTCCTGGGATTTTTTTTGTCAGTGCTGCAAGCAGGAGAAGAGACAGTCACCATCCACTGTGGACAGGAGAGGCATTCAGGTCTGGCAGGGAGATAAGATGCTGACAATGGGGAGGAAGCCCTTAGTAGACCAAACTAGGAAGTGTCTAGTGCTTTGTTAAAAAAGAAAGCTTACTTTCTATTTGGAAGTGGGAAGACTTGATTTGAGAAAGGGAATACGAAGTTTGATATTTTATTAGCAAGAGTGCCTGAAACCAAGTTTAAGTGGGGGTTTGTGTGTGCGTGCGTGCATGCGTGTGTGTGTGTGGTGGTGGCGAGGGGGCTGGGCATTAAATGAGTTGTTGGTGAGCTCCTTCCCCTTGGCTGGGTCCTCACATAAAAAGGCTTTTTACTTCTGTGACATAATTACCAGCCAGGTGCAATTTTCTACGTATTTCTTCTCTTGACCCTTTCCAACATCTATCTGGGAATACTTTTAAAGCTTCCAGACAGCCAGAACTTGAGGGGTTCTTATCTTCCTAGGACCACTTAACAGGGTGTCTGAACTTGGCTTGGCTTCCTCTTTCCTTTTCTCAACTTGGTGTTCTACCTTGAGTACCCGTTTTCTCCCTGGGTAAGATGGCCAGAGCTGACCTTCTGGCCTGTAGTATTCTTGGTCCCCACCAGTGTTCCCCAGTGGAAGCATAAGGATATTTGTTGTAAATGTGACATCCTTAATATCAACACTGGCATCTAAATGAAACTGTTTCCAGAGAAAGGCTTAAGGCTACATCTCAGTTAAACTAGGACACAGCTAATAGACTCTGCTGATCAAAACTTAGTCTCTTAGCAGTAAACCAAAACACGAAGCTGATAGTCTGAACATTAATTTTACTTCTGCTGAATAGCTCATTTAGATGGGTAATACGCTGGCCACATAAGCACAGCCAGAGAAGTAGAAAGAGTTTATTCCGTTTTTTCCTGGTGTCATGCTGTGTACTAGGTGCTTTCCTGTATGTCAACTCAGTGTGTCTTCCCAGCAGCTTTCTGAGGTTGTAATGATTTCCTCATTTTACAGATGAGGACACAGGCCCAGTGAGAAGTTTTCCTCACCAGGACTCCCACACTGAGGACTTGGTAGACTGGGCTTCAAAGAGAGCCCACCCACTGCTTTTTCACTGACCAGTGAAAACAAGGCAGCTCATCTGTGTCACCTTGAGGCCAGGCAAGCCCATGATTTGGTAAAGATAGGTCAAATTATCTTTACTTGGAACATTTTAGAAAATTAATACATTTTAGAAATCGTTTCAAGACAAATGCTGAACAGAGCACTTTTAATTTTCATTCCCAGTACATTTCACACACCTTCACCCTACCACCCCACCCCACTTGCCTAGTCCTCTCTTTTGATTTTCTCCCTCCTGTTACAGGTACACGTTCTAGACAAGAGCTTGAGGATTGTGTTTTTATAAAACCATCACCATCTTTTTCACATCAGCCCCCTTTTTACTTTATAAGAGTGAAACTTGCACTCATTGTTTCTGCTTAGAGGGTTATACCTAGTATGTGCTGTGTGGCCACTTAAATTTACTAGAACACCTTTTCATGATGTCAAAAGTGAGACTATTTCTAGCTTCAAAGCATTTTAGCTATCATGTTTTGTCAGTTTTCTGGGAAGTGATGATTGGCTTTCTGGCACCTAGAGCTTTACAAAGGAACAAAGTCTGTGCCTTTTCCTTCAGCTGTCTGATGGAGCGAGGAATGTTCACCTTTTAGGGATTGGATCTTTTCTAGCACACTTTACTCCTCACACACACGCAGCTCCCAGAGGAGGAAATGCACTGAACACATGTTCCCAATTCTGCTGCAGTTCAGTTTGGCAACCCGACGTAAACGGTTGAGTGCTTGCCCCTGGCCATCAGAGAGCCTCCTGACCTTGTATTGTACTGCCAACATATGTACCACCGAGAGCTTCCCAGCCTTGCATTGCATTCATGTTAGTGTGGGCAGCGCCATCATGTCATGAGCCTCTGTGCGATGAGTAGGGTAGACACTGTGACTGCCTGCTTCAGTTTCCACGAGCACCTGTGTGCGTACGTGTGCGTGTACTTGCTCGCGTGTGTATGTGTGTGTGTGTTGGCTCTACCTCCAAGCTTGCTGCCATCTGATTAATCCTGTAATTTCCTGATTGTATTCTTTTGTTTCAAAAATTTATGACTCTCACTTGAACGATTAAGTTGCATGCATGCCCTACCTACACTAAAACGCTGACCAGTTCAATTTATATGCCAAAAGTCCATAGTCTCATTCACTGTGCAGTTCTTCCTATTTTTGTTTTTGTCTTTTATTTTTTGAAATTGGACATCTCCTTAGTCTGTAGCAGCATTTATTAGCAATGTTTTCTTTCTCAATGGTGAAGGGGAAAATGTTTGCACTGCGTAGGTCACAATAATGGATTCTTTTTGTGTTTTGTGGTGTTATTTGTAGTAAACATTTGCAAATCAACGAATGTCTCTTGTTTTCTTAATCGTTAGCTGCTTGGAAATTTAGAAAAGTCAGGTAATCTTGTTATCTTGTAAGTATTGTTCAGACCACAGTTGCATCTCTAACTCCCATTTTGCTTCTTAATGCATGAAGATTCAAATCGGCTGGCTGCTTTGTGTGTTCTTCATTGTAAAATGTTGAACATTTTCCTTTAAATTCAGTTTGTTTATTTTTTAAATGACTGCATGGCCTGGAACCTTATTTTGTTTTGTGTTTGTCAGATTTGTTCAGATTATTTCTCTCCAAAGAATGCTTTTCTGTGAATTACATTTTAAGTTATTCAGAAATTCTGAAAGGTGTCGCTTGGCAGTTCATCTGTCATCACTAAATTGTCATTTGTTGGTGCTATTCTATCTCCAAAGGAAAGATTAGATTTGCTTTCTTTGCTAAATGTGGCATGCTTCTGATGCTTCCAGCCACTTATTTGTTTCTTTTGTTTCTCATCCTGCTGCTTAAGTATATATGCCTCTGTAGAAAGGAGGAGCCCTGAAAAAAAAAAAAAACATTTTTGGTGGAGGGGAGGAATTAGGAGACTAGACTGTAGGAGCATGGATAGGCAGGGAGTTGGCGTATGTGTGATCATGTATATGATGAAAGAGAGTCTGTAACTTCATAATGTTCTCCAGCCACATCTCATTTTAAACAACCTGGACCATACAGAATTTTTGGCTGGAAGAAATTGAGCATGTATCCAAGTTTAGAGTCCAGTATTTTGTCTCCATTAAGTCAAAATAAAAGTGACCGTGACTACCTGGCACCCATCTGGTCAAATGAGACAAGATCTAATTTGCGGATCATCCATCAAAGCCTTTCCTTGACAGGCGACCGGTAAACATTAATTACCCATAAGTATTATTTTAATATTCAGAAATGTCTGTAGTGATGCAGTTTTCTTTTAGAAGATAGCCTTCTGCCTTATTATTAAAATCTAGATTTTTCAAGTGTAAGTTTGCCGTCATATTCTAAAATGAATTGTTGATAAACAAAACAGGTAATATAAAATGAAAACCAAAAATACTGGTTGACCATTGGATTTCATGATGGAGAAGAAGGCCTTCCTAAGCATGAAAAAGAAATTTAAGTCATAAGTCATAAAATAAACAGTTGATGAATTTGTCTATATGAAAATTAGATTTCTGATCCTCAAAAAAGGTAAAGCAGCCTGGGAGCAGAGGGAATTTGCAACATCACAAATAAAGGACATCTCCCTTACTCTGTTAGAAATTCTTTCACATCATTGATAGAACCCCTATTGAAAAATGGGCAAAAACAACCCCCTCCTACAAAAGCCAATAAGCAATTCACAGAAAAAAAGAAATAGAAATTGCTATTAGTATGAAAATTTTAAGGTTCATCAATATTCATAAAAATGCTGATTAAAGCATTTGACCTACTAGTCTCAGGATTTTTAAAATAATAATACCAGAGGTTGGTGAGGATCAGGGAAGTGTGTATTACCATAAAATTATAAGTTGCTGCAGCCTCTCTCAAGGGGAATATGATAATATTGAAAAATTTTGAAATGTGCATACTCTTTGATTCTGCAATTCCACCTCTAGCAGTTTATCCTAAGAAAATAATAATGGATATATGCTAAGAATTATGCACAAGCATGTTCCTCACAGTATATATAGGAACAGATAACATGTGCCAAGCATGTATAGGGGCAGCTAACATGTGCCAGATGCTGTGCCAAGCATGTATACAGACAGCTAACATATGCCAGGTGCTGTGACTAGTGTGTACAGGGGGAGCTAACATCTACAGTGCCCTGTGCTGAGCACGTATAGGAGAAGCTAACGTGCCAGGCACTGTGGCAAGTGCTTTTATGCATATTCTTGTCTAATTTTCATAACAGTTTCTGTAAGGTGTAGGTAAATCATTATCCACATCCTGCAGATTGAGAAGCTGAGACTCAGAGAGGCTAAGTAATTTGCACAAGATCACACAGCAAAGAAGTGGCACAACTAACTAGCAATGTCTAACAAGGGTGATTTATTAAATGACCTGTATACATCTGTAGAATGATATACTTATGTGGACAATGAATATCCTTTTAGAAACGTAATGACATGGGAGAATGTTCCTGATGTCATATATGAACAAAGGTGCTAAAGATCATAGCATCGGTTCCAATTTTGTTAAAATATATATATGTAATCACAAATGCATGACAATAACACTGCAAGACTGTACATCAAAATATTAATACTGATTATCCCTTTGTGATAGGATTTGGTTTGAGGTTTTTTGGTTTTCTTTTTTTTCCTATTATGCTTGTGTGTGTGTCTTTGTGATTTTTATTGTCCAGTCAAGATAAATTACTTTTTTACAACCAGAAAAAAAGAACATAGTAGCTATTAGTGGATATTTTGATGTCAGAGGCCCAACAGTTCGGGAAATCCCAAAGCCACATTATTTCTAAGATCTTTATGAAGTAGGGAATATATGAATAATATGCCACAGATGATGATGATGGGAAAGGCAAAAATACTCTTTGGTTGCTAAAATTATGCACCATATTATTTCTGTTCAAATTGTACATTGATCAGATTTTGCTTATTGTAAATTTTTCTTCCTGCCAGTGAAATGTGGGTTCAATTCTGTTATAAATAATATTAAAAGGAAGCTACTGAAGGAGAATCAAGCAAAAGATTCCTTTACCGCAGCCGGTTAAGAACTACTTAGGAGAGGCATTGACAGAGTAGAATATAAGCAGACAAAGATGACTAATCTAGGCTTTCCCTTGGCGTTTTTAAATCTGTCTGACTGTCTCCTCTAGGATAACGTATCCTGCAGCAATTAGTACTTAGTGAAAGTCAGCCTGAGTAAGGTTTGTTGGATGATCTACAGGTCCTATATCCTCGAGATGGATTAGATCAGTACCAAGCAGTTAAGGAACAGTATCATCATGAATTAAGAGGGACACAAAACAGCTAAACAAGGATTCTTAGCCACATTCTGTGATTCTAAGAGAATCTAAGTCTAATCTCTTGTATTCTGGGAAGGTGCTATTATGTGGTTTAAGGGAGGTTTAAAAATAATCAGCTTCTTATATAACTGGTAGTAAGTTATTTAAGCAATGCCTCTGCTTCCCAGAATTTCTAAGTGACGTAGACATTTTATCCTGATGACCCCTAAGGACCCTGTAAGCTCTGCCTTCTAAACCCAGAAGAGAAAGCAAAACCATGCGTAAATGATATATATAACATAATAATGAACTTATGTTGGTTCTTCACTGTTGTTGTTGTTGTCCTTAGCTGCTGTCAAGTCGGGTCCTGACTTGTGGCGACACCATGCACAACAGGATTGGACCATTGTGATCCATAGGGCTTTCACTGGCTGATTTTTGGAAGTAGATCACCAGGCCTTTCTTCCTAGTCTGTCTTAGTCTGGAAGCTCCACCAAAACCTGTTCAGCATCATAGCAACATGCAAGCCTCCACTGACAGACTGCACTGCTGGCTGTGCTTAAGGTGTATTGGTCAGGAATCGAACCCAGGTCTCCCACATGGAAGGCGAGAATGTCCCTTCTGAACTGCCATTGACCCCAGTTCTTCACTGTTATTAATCAAAATGTCACTGTGTTACAGTTTTCTTAGAAATTCAAGTGGGTTCAGGGGAGAGATTGCAAGTATCAGCACAGTTCAAGAACATATTAGGCACCCGAGTGCCAGCTGAACTAGTCATTTGGATCTGGGGTTTTCATGTCTTGGAAAAAAAACAATAGCTACCACATTTATTTGGCAGCAGCTATATGCCAGGTTCTGTGATAGGCACTAAATTATATGTGTGGTTTCATTTAATTTAATACTTACTGTTACTTCTAGTTAAAGTCACATATCCAGACCCACAAAACATAATGCCACAGCTTGGATTCTAACCCAGGTCTGTATAACCTCAAAGCATCCCTCCCTCCACTGTACTGCATTTCCCTCTGATGTCTGTGAAGAACTCTGACTTTTGAGTTACAGTTTTGACAGCTTAATAGTCTTTTCTAAAAACCAAAGGTTCCTGCCACCTCTTCCTGGTTGATTTGGAAAGAGGGCTCTGTTTGTGTGAATGTTTGCCCGGGACAGCATGTGCCTGTGACGGATGATTAAGGCATCCCTGGCACATGGTACTGCAACAACATCTGCTCTTTCTTGGCGTTGTTTTCCAAAAACTGTAGACAATAGAGATCAGGAGGTCACACTGCGTGCTCTGACAACCCAGAGGGCCTAGGAGGCTCTTGAAAACAATTGCTTCCGACCCCTGACAGTCTCAAATGGGTGTGCGATTAGAGTCGGAAAGGAAAAAGGAAAAACATAAACGAGACTCTAAACACAAAGTAGACAGCTCACACACAGCACTGGGAGTTCACACTATTACTTCAAAAACACCAGAGGGATATTAACGTATCCAGAACTTTTATTGCTCTGACAACTTTTAAAGCCCTCTCTGATCCATTTTAATCAGTTAATTAATTTGTTAAATAGAGAATATATGCACATGATACAAATTGAAAATGCTCACATGGATTGAATTATCTCCCAAAAATGTGTGTCAGCTTGGCCATGATTCCAGTATTGTGTGGTTGCCCTCCGTTTTGTGATCTGATGTATTTATCCTCTGTGTTGTAAATCCTAACCTCTATGATGTTAATAGGAGCTCTGGTGGCGCAGTGGTTAAAAGCTAGGCTGCAAACCGAAAGGTCGGCAGTTTGAATCACTAGTTTGAGAGGACATTTAGCTTACCAATCATTTGAATGATTGGTAAGATATAGCAAGGCAGGGACAAGGAAGGCATTTCTATAAGAAATAGTAGAATCAAAAATATTTAAAGGACAGCAAATAAACCAATTTTACCAAGATGGGAAATGTGAATAGTAAGAAATAAGCGGATAATCTAAAAGCCTTTCTACATATCTGGGTGCTTCCAGGTGTTATGGATTGAATTGCGTCCTAACACATTACAAAATATGTGTTGTAAACCCTAACTTCTATATCTGTGTTTATAGTACCATTTAGGAATGAGTTGTCTTTGTTATGTTAGCGAGGCGGGATTAGTATAAGGTATATCTTGAGTCAGTCTCTTTTGAGATATAAAAAAGATTAAACAAGCAAGCTAGGAAGCAGAGATGGGGAAAAGAGATGCCAAGCTACATGAAGATTGCCCAGGGACAGAAGCTAAAAAGAGACAAAGACCTTCCCCCAAATCCAACAGAGAAAGAAAGCCTTCCCCCAGAGTGGGTGCCCTGAATTCAGACTTCTAGCCTCCAAAATTGTGAGAAAATAAATTTCTGTTTGCTAAAGCCATCCACTTGTGGTATTTCTGTTAGAGCAGCAGTAGATAACTAAGATACCAGATGACTAAAGACAAATATTAATCCGTTTTTCTAATATTTTTCTTTTTCTCTATTATGGTTAATTTAAATATAGTATTTCAAAATCTTTTACATTAGCTGTTAAAGAAAAGATACAACATAAATAGAAAACGACAGAAGATATATTCTGATACCATTGAATATTCAAGTTTCTTGCCCTTCCTTGAGTGGGAAGCTCTGTGGAGTATTTTTTCATGTGTCAGATATAATAGGCTCCTTCATGAGCCTTTTCTAGCAATTGCTCTTAGTCAGGATAGTGAGTACAAGAAGAATGTAGTACTTTATGGAGTCCTGCAGAATGTTGTGTCTGGGATCGAGTTATTTTTCCATCCCTTGGTTCAGCTTTCCTGACTGTAAGAACCACAGCCAATTTGTTCAAGAGAATCATTGAACTCTTTTGTGTTTCTGTTCCTTTTGAAGACTAGTCTTATACAAAGCTAAGTGACCCTTGAATTACTTACTTAAAAAAAAAAAATTGGTAATCAAATTTGGCATGGCTGCAGACTGATTTATATGCTTTCACCAGCAGCTCATAACTAAGGAGATTAATGTGTGTATCTACCAAAATTCACTTTTTATTAAGATGTTTTTGCATTTGTCAAAGGAAAGTGAATTTACCAAATTAAGTTGTACAGGACCAGAAGCTATTAAAAGATGTTAGGTGGAAATTAATACACTAGATCATCTATCAGATGTCCTCTTTTTTTTTTTTTCTTCTAAATATTCTGGAACACTGAAATTAATATAATGAGCAGGTCGTCAAAAGGGTGTGTGTGTGATATATGTGTGTATATCATCTTTAACCTAACTTTTGAAACCTAGAGTTGTTAAACTCCCATACCACCAAATAATTTTTATCCAAACCTATGTAGTATCGTTAACATATTCAGAAGATACAGTTACACTAGATATCAGCAGTGGGAACTGACTTCCTTTTCAGAATGAAATTTTGAACTGTATTGCTTACTTTCTTGATTTAGATTAGTATGTTATGTTTAATGTTTTGCAGAGATTTTTATGAACTTATTGGAATTCTTGTTTTGTATGATTTAAAGTTAATCATGGTTAGTCATCAGTGAGACTTTAAAAATTATGTGGTATAATTTTACATATCCTTTTGTGTTTCATGCATTTTGATAAACAAGATAGTCCAGTCCCATGCCACCACCCAAAAACCCAGGAAAAAAGATGTATTTTGTTTCCCATTGTAGATTGGCGGGTGTTGCAGCCTCACTGTGTTCTGCATGCGTGACAATAGGCTAACCTGGATACCTGCCGAGTTGTCGCAGGCGACAGAACTTCATGTCCTGGATGTGGCAGGGAACAGGTAAGCAACTTTTGGTTGGCTTTGCTTGAGACTGAGAAACAAATGTGAATACACCACTGTCTACTGTGCATCTTAGCTATCTTGCCTTTGCTCCATCTTTTAGAATACAGTATCCATCAGTCAAATGACCCAGACCAGGGAGTTCTCAAATGGGAGATGAATTGATTGAACCCAATAGGGTAAAGAAGTTCAGGGACTACCTGAACATGGGAACTTTAAAGTTTAAGTGGACACTTGTGTAGAAATGCTTCCCAGAACAACAGTTGAATGGGGTAAGGGAAAGGGCGCTTAGATTTTGGGAGACTGAGGTTTTGCCTTAGCTTTTATAACTTGCTTTTGTAAGTCATTCTGGGTTTCAAAGTCTCCCCATCTGCAACATGAGCTTGAAGCTTGAATGAGTTTGAACTAGATTTTAACTAGGGGTCTTGATGGGCTCTGCTGGTCATCTGAACCCCCTGAAATTGTAGCAAAATTGTATTCAGGCTCATTTTTATGACGTGAGGATTCACAACTATTGTCAGAAACTCCAAGTGATTCATAATCCAAAAAAAAAAAAAAAAGTTAAGAGCCACCAGACTGATATCCCCAAGGGCACAGCAGTACCTTTTCTGAAGTTCTGGGGTCACAAGCACTGTTAGGCTGCTTGCCAATTTCTGGAATGTGCCATCTCCCCACCTTTATAGAACGTAGATTTGTTTCAGTCACTCTGAACTAATTTCAGCACCTCAGATGGCATATGTACTTTTTTCCCTCTGAGCCTAAACAAGCCTTTCTCTCTACCTGGGACCTTCTTCTCTATGTCCCACCTCTCTTCATCGCTCGTGCTTTGTCTTCTCCCAGAGGCCTTTTTCTCTCTGAGTATGTATTTACTGAACTTCCCCTACCCTCGCACTCATAGGCAATGATAATTGTCTGTTTACATGTGTTAACCCTCCTAAACGTAACATTACCTCAAGTTAGAGCTCATGGTTTATGTGCCAGGGTTTCACTCCTATCTTGTACAGTGCCTGGCACATGGTAGATTCCTGGAAAATATTTACTGACTGAATGGAAATGTGAATCATTTTGGCAGAAGGAACAGCAGACCACTGCGAAATGTCTTACATCGCAGGCTTCATTGCCAAAAGGAATTAAAAATTCACTTTCAAGTGTGATATGATTAGAGAGGGAAAAGTGCTTAACCGGGGAATGATGATCAATGGCTTAAAATGGTGAATGCCAGCAATCTGAAGAGTGTTTTGGGGGCTGTCTCCTCAGTACTGATTAGCTCATCACTTAGGTCAGGCACAAGCCAGAGTTTTTCATTCGCGCTAATGCATCATAGACAGCAGGGCTAAACAAACAGCAGTACTCTACTGGAGCTCAGAGATGAGTTATGACCTCAGGGAATGCTCACCTTTTTGAAGTTAATGCTTTTGGGACATCTCAATAGATTCTTAAGACCACTGACTGGCTGCTGGAAACTCAGGACTAATTTGAGTTGAATGTTGAATTTCTGCTGGACTAAGCATAGCATGAGATGTAGAACTTGAGAAGGATGTTTCTCGTCAGACCTCTCACCTCCAGCACTAGAAGCTCAATGATCCAAACATTCCCTGGTTCTTGCCAGAAGGCGTGCATAAATTTGTATCACCAATTCTTGAGCAGAAAGATGGCTCTGACGTCTAAAAACTTTTTTTTTTTTTTTTCACATGAGTAAGGCTTCATTCTCTAGTTCTCAGAAGAAGGGAAAGTTAAATTTTTATTATGCTTGGGCTAGGGTAGAAAAACCTCAATTAAAAAATCTAGTTACATAGCTGCTATCTGAGTCAGTTAAGTGTGTCATTTAGTCCATGTAAATATAGATTCATAACCAAATTTTAAGTCAATTAAAATATTTAATTACTGCCTACTATCAGTATAGAAACTAACAACAATAATCATTTTTCAAAAAGGCTACCATGTCAGCCAAAATATCCCACAACAGGAAGTCATATTAAATACAACAGAAGTTTCTGCCTCTTCTCTCAAGTGTATAAAAGTAGCAAATGGCAGTGGGGAGTCTACCTGTTAGTTTACAAAAATTTTCTTTTACAAGAGTGAGAGGATAAATTATAGCAAGGGTAACTATGAAGTGCCAATTAGACACTAAATATCAAACTCTCTGTGACAGTAAAGAAGAAGGTATCTTGTGTCATCAGCTACCCATGGACATAGAACACAGAATTACTTAATTCTTGGGCTCAATTTTAGAGAAGTATCACCAAGTATACAAAATTGGGTTTCTGCAATATTGTTGTTATTGGGTGCCATTGAGTCAATTCACAGGGTGACAGAGTAGAACTGCCCCATAGGGTTTTCTTGGCTATAATCTTTATGGAAGCAGATTACCAGGCCTTTCTCCCACAGAGCTGCTGGGTGGGTTTGAACCACCAACCTTTTGGTTAGCAGCTGAGCACTTAACAATTGCACCACCAGGGCTCCTTCACTGCAGTATTAGTAGTGTCAAATACTAGGAACAATGACTTTCAATGAGAGAGTTGTTTGCATCTTTGAATTTTGTACTATATATGTAAAATCAAATTAAAAAATATTAAAACATAATAGTATAACTATACTGGGGGAAACTGAGCAGATGAAGAATAAGCTATTTCTATAGTGACATGGAAGGGGTCCATGATACTGAGTGAAAAGAGTAAGTTGTTGAACAGAATATAGCACTCTCATTTTTTGCTTTTTAAACACTATCCAGTACACCAAAATATTAATAGTAGTTCCCCTAGAGGAGGGGGTAGGGACTTGGGGGTAGAGGGAATTTTCACTTTAGGTATTTTAGTATTGTTTAATTTTTTTCACTGGTCATGTTCTCTAGCTATATATATATTTTAAACATGTTTTTAAACTTTGCTTAGAACAAAATTTTTTAGTAGGAGATAACAAACAGGTGAAAAGTTAAATTGTGAGAAGCATTCAGTCATAGGGTAAGATAATATCACATTGTTAAGTAGGCCATGTTTAGTTGCTAAATAAATTTGACAAAGCAACTGCTATAGTAGTTCAGAGGCGGGGAAGGTCACTTCAGGCTGTGGTTATAACTGAAGACCAATTCATTTGCTGTAGTCCTTGTACCATTGGTATAAATAGAAACCACAGGCTTTTTATTTCTGAAGGGATGTGGTCCTAAATAGAACATAGAGATGTGTAGAAATGGAGCTGTGGTCTCTCGTATTTACTCTGTTCTGTAGTGTACAGAGGGTACCAGAATAAACCAAAAATATATTATTAGCTCCTCTGGAAAGTAAGGATATGTATTTTTTAATCTATTTCCTGACTTGGAGTTGGGATGGCTTACCCAAGAGAAACAGAGGAGCGTGTGTGTCTTTTCTCATCAGACCCCAGTGAAGCAGTGAGAGGGCTGGCGCAGCCTGCAGAATTTCTGTGTGCAGACTGTACGGGGAACAGTGCCTTTTTTCTCCTTACCACTGCTGGGGTCACTGCTGTCCCCCAGACACTTGTTAGCAAGCCCATGTGTGGTGTGTACTCAGTCGGCAGCATCCATAGTCAGGCTGACCCCTTGATTCTTTGCAGGAAAACTGGTGCTTTAGACAACTCATTAATCTTGCATAGCTTACTTAAATATGATTATAAGATCTGTTGCTGTAGAGTCCAGTAATTTATTTTAGCTTTCACCATATAGTTTGTCATCCTTAGAAGCTATTACTTATTGTTAATTTTTTTTTTTTTTAGCTTTTTATTTAAACCTTTGCGTTAGCAGTCAGCTGGCAGGCCAGTTATTAGTCTGAGAATTTACGATGACCTTGTTTGAGTATCTGTGTTCTGTGCCAGTTTTCAAATCATGATTTTTTTTTTCTTTTATGCTTTCGTGATTAAGAAAGGTAGAGATGCTGACTATAGGTTTCTTGATCAAGACCTTGAAACTTTAAAATTCTGGAGGATGTTAGCTTAACGCCTATTTTAAAAGGAACAGGGAAAAAGAATTTCAAAAGAAACTGTCCTTTTGTTCAATAAAGTGAAAAAGAGTTATTTTCCATAAGTTTAGTTTTACCAGTTTAGTGGTATATATTTCTGAAAATGCAATACTAATCTATTGGTAAGATATATTAGTAGATTTCCCACGTATGTTGACTAAAAATAGATATATAATTTCATGAAAGAAACACATGTTGTCATATCATTTTTTATAGAATTAATTGGCCAGAGATTTCTTTTAGGCATAGATGCCTCATTTTGTAGATAAAGAAAGTGATGAGATACTATTATTTATCTATTTTATGAAGTCACTTCCAAGACTGATCCGTAATTTAATAACATGGAGTCATCCTTACAGTGAAAATACTTGATCAAATATAACCTTAAATTCCTTAAACCTTAAATTTCTGGGAAACACGGAAGTTTGAGTGTTTTCAAAGTGAATTAGTAGACTAGTTTGAATTGGTTTTCACTAAAGCAGGTTGTCTCATCCTTGGCACTACTGGTATTTTGGGCCAGAGAATTCTTTGCTCTGTGTGTGTAAGTGTGTGTGTGGACGGGGGTGGGGAGCCCTGTCCTGTGCATTGTAGGATGCTTAGCATCATCCCTGGCCCCTACCCGTGAGATGCCATTAGCACCTCCCCCCAGTTGTGCGAACCAAAAATGTCTCCAGACATTGCCAGATGTCCCCTGGGGACATAATTGCCCCTGTTGGAAAACCGCTATGCTTAAAGTAGATTTTATCAAGTACCGAGTACATATGATTTCCGGCAGGTGGCCTTTTGGTCCTTTATTTACTAAATAGATTTAAATGGTTGCAGCCAAGCTGTCAAATCTTTGTGAAGCATAAATATAAAACTAATCTTTAGGTGTCATATTACGGTTTCTAGAGTATTTTCGTATATACTATCTCATTTGAAACTGAAAACAGTCTGATGTGGATATTAATTATCATGTAGGAGCCTGAGAGGTAGGAGCTTCCAGAAACTGAAAGATAAAAGTTTAAAATGGGATACTTAAAATAATCTCCCTAGAGAAAGCAAACGGAGCCCATAGCCATGACTTTTTTTTTTTTTTTGTTAAATCTTTAACTGCACATTAAACTCTTCTGCAACCCAGGTATCTCTTTCCCCTTAATGCCCATTATCCAGGTGCTCCTGGAAATAGGTAATATCAAGGCCTCACATCGAGTCACTATGAGTCAGAATTGACTTGATGGCAGTGGGTTTTTTTTTAAGGCCTCATACCAGCCTTGTCAGAGAGGCTGTTGCCATTGAGGTAAGAACTTCCTGCTTTCAGGTCCTTCCACAATTTGACTGGCTTTGCTTTCTCTTTAAATTGAAACCTCCTAATACAAGACCTAATAATGCATCCTGTAATTAGCTGAACCTTTCCTCAGTTTTCTGCCCTATGGCCTAAAGATCCTAATGAGAGAAGTGATAGCAGAAAAGAGAAACACAATTTACCTACTGAAAAAATCTGCTCGCAAAGGGTAAATCAAGCCTATTAGGAGCCCTGGTGGTGCAGTGGTTAAGAGCTTGGCTGCTAACCAAAAGATCAGCAGTTTGAATCCACCAGCTGCTCCTTGGAAACCCTATGGGGCAATTCTGCTCTGTCCTATAGGGTTACTATGAGTCAGAACTGACTCGACGGCAGTGGGTTTAGTATAAACACGAAGTATTGGTGGCTCAGTGGTAGAATTCTCACCTTCCATGCAGGAGACCCGGGTTCAATTTCCAGCCAGTGCACCTCATGTGCAGCCACCACCCATCTGTCAGTGGAGGTTTGTGTGTTGCTATAATGCTAAACAGGTTTCAGCAGTGCTTCTAGACTAAGACAGACTAGGAAGAAAGACCTGGCAATCTACTTTCAAAAATCCATCAAAGAAAACCGTACAGATCACAGTGATCCAATCCATTGTGCGTGGGGTTATCATGAGTTGGGGGCTGACTTGACAGCAGCTAACAACAAGAAAAAGTATAAACATACCATCTTTGTGCACTTTGAACCCAATACCAGGAAACCCATAAAAAAAACAAACCATTGCTGTTGAGTCGATTCCAACTCATAGCAACCCTATAGGACAGAGTAGAACTGCCTCATAGAGTTTCTAAGGAGTGGCTGGTGGATTTGAACTGTAGACCTTTTGGCTAGCAACCAAGCTGTTAACCACTGTACCACCAGGGCTACCAGGAAGCTATTTTTTATTGTTTTCCCTGTTTTTATTGACAGGAATTGATTTAATTACAAAATTGGAGGTCACGATGTCTCCCTTTGTTTTAAATTAGGTTGCTGCATCTGCCTTTATCCCTGACCACCTTGAAGCTGAAGGCTCTTTGGTTATCTGACAACCAGTCCCAGCCTCTGCTCACATTCCAGACAGACACCAACCATACCACCGGGGAGAAGATTTTAACCTGTGTCTTACTTCCTCAGCTGCCTTCTGAACCTGCTTGCCAAGGTGAATTTAAGGACACTAATCACATGCCCACAGGAATGAGTAGGGACTGATGTCTATCCATAAAGCCTCTTACTCCCACATATGAATGTGATTATATTTTCTTTAATTTGCCCCTAAGAGCTACCCCAGATGCGGCCATTGTGGGAATCCTTGGGGAAGGGTCCCTCCATCCTTGCAGAAAAAGTACCTCTTATACCTGTTTATCATGTGTGAAATTCCTTAAACAGCCTTTCAAATTTGAATTTTAGCTAAGGCTGAAAATACAAATGCTCCTAAAAAAGGTAACAGAGTCACTTAAAACCCACACTTAAACATTATGAGGATTAGTAGCTGATACCACTGGCGTACTGTTTTTAAGCCAGTGAGTTGTTTTGAGTTATTGCATCTCTGTTTTGTAAATTATATGTGGTTTTAAGAAATATTCACATTAGCATCAAAATGCTTTTATAATTCCTTTGCGAGAGCTGGGTTTGATAGAAGAGAACTGAAGTGTGTTCAGACAATGGGAGCCTCCGAATTGGAAGGGCCCCAAAACCAACTTGCCAATCCCAGCTTTGTTAGATGAGCTTTTAAGACCCTAAAAGAAAAATATGGTAGAAGGTATTACTAAAGAAAGTACTAGTATCCAGCATGAGGCACTGGTGGTTCAGTGGTAGAATTCTTGCCTTCCGTGTGGAAGACCCAGGTTCGATTCCCAGCCAATGCACCTCATGCACTGTTGGTAGCTTGCATATTGCTATGATGCTGAACAGGTTTCAGTGGAGGTTCCAGACTAAGATGGACTAGGAAGAAAGGCTGTAACAATCTACTTCTGAAAATCAGTCAGTGAAAACCCTATGGATTGCGATGGTTTGATCTGCAACCAGCTATAGGGATGAGTAGGATTGGGTAGCATTTTGTTCAGTTGTGCATGGGGTCACCATGAGTTAGGGGCTAACTTGATGGCAGCTAACAGCTAACAATAACAGTATTCAGCATGTGCAGCCACATCGCTGTCATAAGAAAGTTTTCAAAGTTAGTGTGTAAAAGAGAATTAGAAAAAAGGATTCTGTAAGTGATTAAGATCTTCTGTGATGAAATAGTAAACATATAAACTTAGCAGATATTTTACATGGTCTCAAACAGAATTGAAAAGAAGGGGCAACCCTGTCCGAGGCCTTTACTTTTTTTTTAATCATGGTAAAATATATATAATAAAACAGTTGCCATTTTAAGCATTTTTAAGTGTACAGTTAATGACATTACATTCAGCATGTTGTGCAGCTCTCACCACTATTCATTTCCAGATAGTTTTTATCTCCCTAAACAGTAACTCAGTACCCCTTAAGTAATGGTTAAGGGATTCATTTTTTGGTTTGTTTTTAAAGCAAAGACTTGGAGGCTGAAATAATTAATTTGCCCTCCTTATTTCAGCTTTTATGCACCTGGTTCTCCTTATGTATTCTGCATAAGACCAGTTGCCATTGAGTGGATTCCGATTCATGACAACCTTACGTATGTCAGAGTAGAACTGTGTTCCATAGGGTTTTTGATGGCAGATTTTTCAGAAGTAGATCACCAGGCCTTTCTTCCAAGGTGCCTCTAGGTAGACTTGAACCTTCAACCTTTTGGTTAGCAGCAGAGCACATTAACTGCTTGCATCACGTAGAGACTCAGTTATTCTGCCTGGTCGACCACCAAATTGGTACATAGCGGTTGCCAGGCACGTGAACCAGAGTTCCCTGCTGATGTGCCCTTTGTCCCGGCAGAGAATCTGCCTCGCTGTGGTGCGCTGGAGAGCTTGGTAAATGATGTCTCCGATGAAGCCTGGAATGAGCGTGCAGTAAACAGAGTCAGTGCAATCCGATTTCTGGATGATGAAAAAGATGAAGACGACAATGAAACGGTATGGAAATGGAGATTCTTTGCCTCTGTGGACGTTCAAATTTAAAAGCTTTCCAAATATTGAGAATGGTACCTAATAAGGGTTTCTTTATTTTAAAATAGCATATTCTCTGTTTTGCCTTCAGCATTTAGAATTCATTCAGAAGACAAAACTAGATACTTCTAAATACTGATCACAAAGTGTAAATAAGGGAAATGGGACTTTAGGTTTCTTTGTTTGAATAGTTTATGGGACTTTTTTTCTCTTCCCTGTTTGTGATAGCTTCCCCTCCACAATGCCCACTGTTTTCTTAAAATCAATTGGTAACTTCTTATTTTTTGTTGTTCCCCGTGAATTAAGTCTCTTCCCAGCCACCCCCACCCCATTAATGGCTGTACCGTGGTAGAGATAGATCTCTGTTGACTCCACTCGCATTTCATCACGTGTGACTTAGCTTCCCTTCTGTTGTACCAGACTTTTCTGTCTTCACAAGACCAGGTCTCATCTTTACCTTCATGTAGAGCGCTTGTGATTCTGGCAGGGTGACCTTAGGACTTACTTAGAAATCAGGAACAAATTTGAAAGTATCTCCCACCCTTACTTTCATCTTACTTGAAGGTGTCTCTCAGCCGCTTTCATTAGAATATACTACTGTAAACATCTGACCTTTATTTTGTCTTACGTTGGGGTAAGGGGGTCATCTCCAAGCATCTGTGACAACTCTTGAAATCTTCCTACAAGATGACTTTGGCTTCTTAAAGTCCTTGCACTAATTGAGATTTTCATAAGCAGAGCTTAGAGGGAGTACTTACAGCCCCCAATAACAAAAGGCAGCTTTTACATCATTTCCTATAAACCAAACCCGTTGCCATGGAGAACTGCCCTACAGGGTTTCCAAGGCTGTAAATATTTACAGAAGCAGACTGCCACATCTTTCTCCCGTGGAGCAGCTGGTGGGTTTGAACCACTTAACCACTGAGCCATTATTATTCTGTTATTCTGGCTTTCACCAAATGGGATTTTGGTTATTTGCAGTAGTCAAATGCAAAGTGTGAATTAGAAATGGCAAAATGACTTCAATATAAATGACTCTTGACTGCTTACCTCATGGTTTGTTAGAGTCTAATTATTTTATCAGTTACTTCATTGCCTCAATTGTGCTCTTTCAGTATTTTGTTACCCTAATTTGGCTCTTTCTGAAACTCCTGGACAGGCCATTTAAAAGATAAAAATGCTGTTTTATGAGCTGAAGAGCATGCAAAATGTTAAATGATAATGATTTTTAAAAAATTGCCCATACCCTGTAACTTTACTTCCAGCACTGTGGTCTTTCTTTATTAGAAGAATGTGAACTTTCATCAGTAGGTCATATAAATAGCCCACATAGCAACAAAATAAGAAAAGAAGTCTTTTTCTCCCGGCTGGCTTCCCTTTTTCTTTAACTCCCGTGCTTCAAGGGCTAAAGCAAACCAGAACTACTTTTGGGTTATAGTAGAGTATTATAGTGATACTAATTTAGGGTTTTTTTTTTTTTTTTTTTTAAGCACTTTACCCTTTCCTTCCTCCACATCCTACAATTATATTTTAAAAATCTTTTCTTTTTTTTTTTCTTACTGTTCATGGAACTTTATTTTTATCTTACACTAATCTCGTTTTTTTAAATAGTATTATTTTAAAAGTAATCTCGCTATCTTGACTGTCTGAGTTACATGAAATACTTTTATCTTCCATTAATTACTAGTAAGCAGTTGATAAATGCACATAGCTCTGAAGAAAGCCTTCTCACCCACTTTAACTCATAATCTCTAAGGAGCAGCTTTGTATTGGAATGCTGATGCCTCGAAGCTGCATGTTTGAAAGAGTAATGGGATAAGACCAAAACACTCACTCCACTGTTTGTTTTTAGAGAACACTTCTAAGGCGAGCCACTCCACACCCAGGGGAGTTAAAGAACATGAAAAAGACAGTGGAGAATTTACGGAATGACATGAATGCTGCTAAAGGACTGGATTCCAACAAAAATGAGGTCAACCATGCCATTGACCGAGTGACCACTTCTGTGTAGCATTTCACCTCCGAATTTTACCTCCTGTGTCTTCCCCTGCTGTCAGAGATGTTCCTGTCTGCTTCCGAGGAGCCTCATGCAGTCCTTTGTCTTAACCAGAACCTGGCGCATCATCTCCCCAAGTGGCGTGTTGGGATGCTGCCCTCTCAAAGGAAGTGCCTTACTCTAGTCCATCAACCAGTCTTTGCACCAGTGATCTCCTGGCCTGACTTTTTTTTTAATTTTGGTTGTTTGTAATAAGTAGAATACACTACTGTAAACATCTGACCTTTGTTTTTGTCTTATGTTGGGGAAAAGGAGAGCAGAAAGGGGAGTTTTTATCCTCCTCCCTTCCATAAGTGCTGGAACATTTTGGACCCAAGTTCTCTTGGACCTACCGATGAGAGAGTTTTATGTGTGTGGGCGAAAACTGATAACTTTTTTAAACCTTTTTTTGGCAGCTCAGATGGTGTAAATTTTAAAAATTTTGTATAGGTATTTCATAAGAAAAAATCTGTATTTCTTTTTTTTTGTTGTTGTTATTTTATCATGGAAACGGTACATATTTTAGTATTTGTGCAGGAAAAAACAAAAAACGAAACGAAACAGTCCGAAAGTATTTGTTTTTACTTGTACCATCCACCGTGCCTTACTGTAACCTGTGTCATGTCAGAGCAACTGTAAACAGTGGCATCCTTGAGCAGTGTGGTACTTTTAAAGCAGTGTTAGATTTTAATTAGAAATCTACCCGGTGGATTTGTTTTTAACCAAAAAGAAGAATTACCACTGATTTTGTAAATTAATATCAATTGATTTTTTTTTAAAGTTGAACCAAAGGTTTAAACTACTTATATGTCATTTCTTACACTTTAGCTTCTCATGAGTTAGTCTCTTATAACGAGTGCAGTATCAGACTGCGCTCACTTCAAAGATATGTGCCATTTGTAAAATAAAATAGAGCAGCAAAGCACAAAAAGAGAAAACTGGTTCAGAAATCCAGTGGGTAAATAAATTATGTACTGCAAAGGAAATTATCATTTTTACTGAAGAAAGCTTTAAAAGTTTTATATCCAGATATAAAACCGTAATAAAGAAAAATAACCTACAACCATAATAGACATGTTGGAATCTTTGTAAGTGCAATTTTAATTTGTAAATAGAGTTTGAATCCAAGTGTAACAAAATACTGCTTCAAGATTTAATTTTAAATCTGCTAATTTAAGGGGTACAGGGGTATGTTTTGGTGTGTTTCTATTGATTTCTTTCTTTTTTTTTTGTATTATGTGATAAAAGAGAAATGAAAAGTGCTAGTCCCTATGTGGTGTCTGGGGAAATCATGTCATTTTATTTTTCCTCCATGAAATAAACTCAGCCTGGACATTGGCCATACAGCTTTTCAAAATTAATTATTACTATATACGTGCAGGCGTACCTGGGTGGCGCCAGCGGTTGACGGTTCAGTTACTAACTGAAAGGTTGGTGGTTTGAATCCACCCAGAGGCACCTTGGAAGAAAGACCTGGCAATTAACTTCTGAAAGGTCACAGCCATTGAAAACCCTATGGAGCAGTTCTATTCTGAAACACACGAGGTAGCCATGAGTCTGAATCGACTACACAGCAACTGGCTTATGTATGTACAAATGATAGCAGGTAGCCAACTCCTTTGACAATGTATTCCCTTCTATTAAACGTCTAAACTATTGGTCAGTTTTGATTTAACTTCCTGTGGGGCTTGCTCTCACTTGGCATTCTCACACACAGGGCAGACACCAAAATTGCCTTCAGCTCTGGCTCATAAGTTTGGATTGTGGCTGTTTGGCCACCTGGACTTCTTAGAAACCAATTTTCAATTAACAAAATACTATTTCTGTACATTTACTTATTGGGTTCACTTTGCTATTTAGGTTGTGTGTGTGTATATATGTTTGTATTTTTAAAACTGTATTAAGTTAAAAGTACATGGCATATAAGCTGGTCTCACCTCATCAGCTTTATACCTTGCTCCCTAGAAAGTCTCCTTAATCTGTGGATATTGATTTTCTTTTCTCCTTTTTAAGATTTGGGTATACTCTGTTTTGTTTTAAGCCTGTAAAGATGATACCACTAACTCATGGACTGATTATTTAAGGAAAGTTATCCTGACATCTAAAAACAAATAGAACTTGCATAGTGGTTTTTGTTTTTTATATAAAGGCTCCCCTGTACTACTCAGTTTATCATGGGTTCAGTGGGATAGAGATGGACAGACTCGTGTTTATGTATATGTGTTTGAATTTTTCTAGGAAATTTATGCCTTAATTGTTTCCTTTGGGCTGTCTCCTTTACTTCACACTCACCTGGTTGTTTTTATTGTTTTTGTTTTCAGTTTGAGGGTGTTTGTTTTCTTCTTCCTTGAGAGGGAAAAGTTACTTTCATCATAATCTCTTATGCTCTGTGACACTGTGATGCTCTTCAACATCAGGATGCTGGTACCAAACTTAGGCTTCAGAATGGAAACGGCACCAACCAAACAGTCCCAGCTTGAGAACATACTCAGCCTTTCCAGTGAGGACTCTCTTATAAGAAAAACTTCATGTGAAAGGATATCTTTTTCTTGTGCGCCTAATGCCAAAAATTCCTGGTCTCCTTCTAGGGGAGAAAGTTATGTAGCATTGTCAGGAGTCCATGGCCCCTAGTCTGGCTTTTCTTTAAGAGAGGGAGAAGTACAAAGTTTGACCCAACTGTTCGTCTTGTGGGAGTGAAAGATAAAAACAGGAAAGGAGATTAGTATGACCTATTCACTCACTTTTTTGTTCGCCTCTTACTTCCTTCTCTTTTTAGCAAGGACATTACCCCTAAGTGGAGAAAACGGCCAAAAAAATTAGAGGAGGTGAAATAATGAAAGTCATTGATGATGAAAAGGGATAGGTAAGAAATCTAGAAACGTTTGCCTGGATTTTTTTTCTTCCTGGAAAGTTTGGAAAAATGGCCTGACCAACCCAATCTCCAACTTACTAGTTAGGTGTCCACAAGGTAAAGAAGCACAGGTGGAATTGCTCACACCAGCCCCGTCCAGCAGTCTGTATGCCATCCCCTGTGAAGTCTGCCACACCCAAGAAGACATGCTTAATGGTTAGGGTGAAGGCTGGGAAAAATGCTTTCTTTGTCAGTAAGTTACTCTGAACAGCCAGTCCTAACCTTATAAAAATGACCAACACCTCTGCTTTGGACACACTGGATCATGTGTGGTGAGGCTGGCTGCACAATTACTCTCTAGTGAGGGATATGCACTGGAGCTGCTCATTAAAAGCAGGCAACTAGGGATTTACAGTTTGTTGACATCCATAGAGTTGAAATCTCACTTCAGCCATTAGTGTTGACTTACCTAACTTTCCAAAGAGCTAATTTAAAAAAACAAAAAACAGCAAAACTTTTTATTATGGAAAATTTAAAACATACGAAAGTAGAATTATATAGTGGACCCCCATGTACCTGTCACTTAGCTTTTAACAACTACCAACACAAGACCCCATGCTAAGCCGTTTTAAAGAAACCAGATTATGTTTTAAAATAACATACATAAAAAGACTATACAATGAAATTAAAAAAAAAAAAAAAAAGCTCAGGAAGAGCAGAGAGCAAGTATGCCCTTTAAAGCAGCACTTTGAAGTTAAAATTTTTGAGAGTCGTCATGGAGGTAGGTTTGAATCCCAACTCTGCCACATAGCTTTGGACAAGCTACTTCTCGGGTCCTCACGTCCTTCATCTCTAAAACGACAGTAATACCTCTTACAGGCTTATGGTGAGGATTAAACAGGATACATGAAACATAAGCTCCCAGTAAATGGGTGACTGCTATTACTACAGGTGTTGCTGTCATTATTCTAGTCATGTTATTAGCACCTACCACTAGGCCAGCAGTACGTGATCAGATGAGTGGTGTTCATCGGGAATAAGGACACACACTAGTTCTCTGGCAGGGAAAACTTTATCTGAAAACATTTTCACATGTGGTTTTACATGTAGAACACTGAGCTATATAATGGAAATGGAAATTTTAATTTGTCAGGAGTGCTTAATGGTAGATTGAGCTGTGATCTCAAGGTAACCCCCTCATTTTAGCTGGACTTAACTAGCTAGCTATCCTCAAGGTAGAACTAGTTTCTACCAAGAAATCATTAAATACCTCATTGAGGAAAGGCTCTCCCTTTCCACCCAATGTCCCCCTCTTTACCATTTACTATTATGTTCATTTTCTGCCTTATCTCTACCTTACTTCACCTTTGATTTTCATAACTTTTTCCTTTTTCACCTCTTGATTTTATGTTTTACAAGGGGCAGGTAGATTTTAGAAATTGATGGTTCATGGAGAAAAACCTAATGGAAAATAAATAATAAATGCAGCCTGATTTGGGGGGCTGCACATGCCCATCTTGCTAGAGTGTTTTTTTTTTTTTTTTCCTTTAAAAGTAGACAGCTGGTGGGAAAGGGAAACCAATCAGAAGAACCTGATCTTGTTACTTTTGTTCAAGAGGCTGTGTGGAAGGTTGGAGACCAGTTGGCAAGGACAGTGTAATTTTAACCTGGGAGATTGGGCAGTCACTGTGACAAGTGTGGCTTTCAGCCAAGGGCTCTTGAGTTCTAACTAGGCAAGAATCTGACTGGGTTGATCCTCCAAATTTCTTTTAAGGCATCAACATTTGATTTCTAAACAAACAACGAGCTGCTCTTTTTGTATGGCAAGATAATAGTTACTTACAGTGGCCGCCATTTACTGAGCACTTACTGGGTGCCGCACGTCAAGCTAACTGAGCACAATCTCAGTTTTCCAGAACACCCTTATGAGGTAAGTGATGGCATTTCCATTTTGCAAAGGAGAGAATATGATCCAAATAGATTTAGTAACTTGCCCAGATCAGACAGCGAGAAAGTGACAAAGCTGAAATCCAAATTCACATCTCCCTAACTACAGATAGTCAATGATCTCCATTATGCCTTTATTTTGCTCTGCCCTCTCTCCCTCTTGCCAAAATACTGTGGACCTATAATTACATTTAGAGTTGTAGTTATAGTGGTGATGGTTCTGTTTTTATTTGTAGAGATTATTTAGGCCTAGGTTATGAACTGAGTGAAATTTGTTATTAGCTACCATCAAGTTGGTCCTAGCTCCTGGTGACCCCATGTGGAACAAAAGCACTGCCTGGTCCTAAGCCATCCGCATGATGGATTGGGGAACCAGAAAGTTGTGGATTGGACTATTGTGATCCAAATTTATTGGCTGATTTTCGGAAGTAGATCACCAGGCCTTTCTTTCTAGTCCATCTTAGTCTGGAAGCTCTGCTGAAACCTGTTCAGCATCATAGCAATACACAAGCCTCCACTGACAGATGGGTGGTGGCTACACATGAGATACTTTGGCCAGGAATTGAACCCAGGTCTGCTGCATGGAAGGTGAAAATTCTACCACTGAACCACTGCTGTCCCTGAGTGAAACTTAGCCACCATTTTTATAAACTTCACCCTTCAGATATGAACAGGCACTTCACCAAAGAAGATATTCAGGCGGCTAACAGACGCATGAAGAAACACCATTAGAGATATGCAGATCAAAACTACAATGAGATATCATCTCACCCCAACAAAGCTAGCATTAATCTAAAAAACACAAAATAATAAATGCTGTAGAGATTGTGGAGAGACTGGAACACTTATACACCCTTGGTGGGAATGTAAAATGGTACAACCACTTTGGAAATCAATTTGGCACTTCCTTAAAAAGCTAGAAATATAGAAGTACCATACGATCCAGCTGTCCCACTCCTTGGACTATCCTAGAGAAACAAGAGCCATCACACAAATAGATATATGCACACCCATGTTCATTGCAGCACTGTTCACAATAGCAAAAAGATGGAAGCAACCTAGGTGCCCATCAACGGATGAACGGATAAATTATGGTATATCCACACAATGGAATATTACACAATGATAAAGAACAATGATGAAGCTGTGAAACATTGTATAACATGGTGGAAGCTGGAACTTATTATGCTGAGTGAGTTTAGTCTGTCACAGAAGGACAAATACTGTATAAGACCACTATTATAAGAACTCAAGAAAAGGTTTAAACACAGAAGAAAACATTCTTTGATGGTTACGGGGGTGGGGAGGGAGGGTAAG